TGTGTGTGTGTATTTGTGTGTTGTGTGTGTTTGTATTTACAAAAGAGTGATAGAACCCGGATGTGCGTGTTTTATTAAGTTGCGCCGATATGAAGTGCTCTGATTGAAATCGAATACACTCGTTGTTGCTAGGAGACCACACCTACCCGTTGGTATTATTGACATTTTTCTACTTTATAAGGCTCATAGATAGTGTAAGCAATCTGCGCGGGGCATGCAGCGGCTGGGTCGCCAGTCGAGTTGGCGAATTTTGGCGATATCACCACAAATGTTTGAAAGTGAACTAAGAAGTACTAGGAAGGATAATACCGGGGACTAGGTCGTACTAGACAGGATTATATCGGTTTGGTTTCAATACACAAGATGTTTATTGTCTGCAGTACAAAATGTTTGATATGAGGGTGTCCATTCATTTATCTGCACTTTCACTTTAGGGTTATTAGGAATCCCTAAAAACTAAATTTCAGGCACAAGGGTTTTTTAGTCATAAAATTTAGGCATATAGGGTTTTTAGAAATAAACTTTAGGCCTCTTTAAAAAAGGAATTAAAAAAGGGGGTTTAGTCATATAAAATTTAGGCAAATGTTTTTTAGTTCTACAGAAATCGGAGTTGTTAATTTAAAAAAAAGATATTTAGGCTTTTTAGAAAAACAAAAAGAGTAATTAATCGTCGAGTTGTCGACTTATCTGTTGTCGACACGATAACTCGACACTCGACAGTCGACACCCGACACTCGACAGTCACACTGCCACAGTGCAACAGTGGACTACAGTATTTAGTACAGACTACAGACTACATACTACAGACTACAGAGAACTCTGAGTGTGGACTCTGGACAGTGGTGAGTGGAGTGTGGACTCTGGAGTCTTGAGTCTGGATTTAGACCTCATTCGAGTCTCGACTTTCGAGTCTCTACTCTCGTCGTCTCACTCGCTTGAGTTGTTAGTTGTTACTTGTTCATTGTTGTGTGTTATATAAACACTAAACTAACTGTTGTGACTTGTGAGTGTGAACTATGAACTGTGACACCGGGTCACACGACTCACACCGTGACTGTCGTGACAGTGTGGTCTGTGTCAGTCTATATGACTGTGTGTCAGTGTGAGACTGTGAGCAGTGAGAGTGAGACTGCCAGACTGGTCACTCTGGAGTCTGTCAAAGGTCAAATGTGAATGTGAGTATTCAGTATTGAGACTCGAGTCGAGCGGATGACGTGCGATGCCGCAGGCTTGGCTCCTACGTGGGGACTCAAACAGCACATGCTCGATCGTCTTCTGGGTGAGGCAGTCGAGTGTCGACTGTCGAGGACTCGAGGACTCGACTCACTCGAGGCGGTGTCGAGTGTCGACACTCGACAGTCGAGTCGTCACTGTCGAACGCCGAATCTTCGATCCACTCTCACAGAGAAATTTAAAAATATCTCATGTGTGCTCTTGCTCTTTGTTTTTTTAAAAATACCATACACGTGTGTGTTGTGTGTTTTTAATTGTTCTTTCAAATTTTGTGACTGCGACTATTTAGATTTAGATCCGAATTTAGATCCGAATTTAGATCCAAATTTTGAAATGGGTCAAGAATGTCGTTGACAGCACTTGTACCATTTGAGAGTACTTCCACTCTTGTTGTCATGCAAATGAAAAATTATAAAAGCGCTGGAAAAGATTAGATGATGATGTGTCGCGTTCTGGTGTCAGCTGGAGTGTTCAGCTGTTGTATCAGAATTGAATCATAAAGGCTTTGCAAGTCAGTATTGAGTGTTACATATGTATTTAATCAAAACCGAGTTTAGGTTTCGAGTACTTTCATATTCGGCACGTCATGAGTTTTAATATTTTGAGAGTATTCCTGGATATTGGAACGGCTGCCTACAAAAATGATGAATATGAGAAGATGATAGCATAACTCTCACGTTGCAATAGACGAACAACTAAACCTAAAACGAAAATATCAGAGCCAATGGTTCGACTGCGATCATTAACTTTTAGACACCAGTTGTATGTTCTATTATTGCTCTTGGGGGTTATAACAAACATTGACGTGGTATGGATGGCAGGGGTGCTCGCACGGAAGTCTGTTTTAGGGTACAGTAGCGAATATATGGCTATACTGTTTCTAAATACTCTGGACATGCACTCAGCAAGACTGGTACATGCCAGTGCCTCCTCACTGGAACTAGTTCTCCACATCTCGATTGGATCGCAGGTTGGGGAACAGCTAAAACAAGCTAGGGTCAGGGCTGCAATTGCCATCCCTGCTGATGATGTTGCGAGGTCCATCGAATTAAAGAATCTGATACTGGTCAAATCACAAACTATTCATGAGTATTGGTCAGGACCTTGGTATGAGGCTAGGGCTAATGATGACTATATATGCATCACAACGGTACTTATCATGATGGTTGGATGGGAGTACGGATTAATTCTTCTTTCAGTGATGGCTGCTGCTATGACGATTGGTTTCTTCCTCGAGAAGCCAATGTGGGATCAAGTAGCCGAATCTGTGAACTGTGCATCGCACGCAGCCGATGTCGTTGTGACGGACGTTGTAGAAATGAAATCTATAGTACAAATGTACAACACGACGGAGGCTGAGTTAGATCAAATTAAGGCAATCTACTCGGGCTCAGTCGGCCCACAAAGTTCGCTGTTGATCAAAATCTTTGCCCTCGATACTCTAGGTACCCTATTTAAGGCCTGGGCGCAACCCGTGCTTGTTATCTACTACTATTATGCCCATCGTGACGGAGACGATGACATGTATCAGTTTTATACGTGAATAAGCACAATTTTCCTAACCGGGATTCTACACTTTTCCGTGACAGCGCAAATGAGGAACAAGTTCTTAAAAGCTAATTACCTCTCAGCATTGAGCGAGATCCAGAATCTTGTTGGGGATGATATTTGTCAAGTGACTGCTGTGCTTTCTTTGCCAATTCGAGAGTCGATTATTCCAGTATCAGAACTGAAGGGATCGATGTAGAAAAGCGTCCTCAGCAAATCCCACATCATTTCAGCCACCCATGAGTTGGAAAAAGTGCAAACAGTAGGTATCTCTCTTCCGTCGATACCAAGTAATATAAAACACAGTGGAAATGGTCAGTTAAAGTTGAATGATCCTCGCCCCAATCCCCACATATCCTTGAAGCGAATGTTGGTGATCATACCAGTATAGAAATCCTTGAGAAGAAAGGTTTTGGGTCCAATCAGGGCATTTTGAGGGGGCTCAGTATGAGTGTGGATCATGGCGTGACAGTAGCAATCATCGGAGAAACAGGTGTGGGAAAATCTACCCTGCCAAAGGCATTGGCTGGTTTGACGTTGCCAAAGCAGGTCTGCTGGAAGTGAACGGCATAATATGGACAGCAGGTACACAGGAGATATACCGTGGCCACGTTGCCACGGTTACACAAGATTGTCCGCTATTTGCGAGGACTGTAAAAGAAAATCTATGCTACGGAGCCAAAACAATTACTACTGGTACGTTCAGTACGGAGCTCATTTCTGAATCTGCCATGAGGGAGGCTATGTCGCTGGCCTGTTTAGACAATTGGATTGAAAGTTTGCCTGATGGTCTAGATACCGTGTTAACTGACGGTGATCGGCAGGTTTCCGGTGGCCAAAAGTAACGTCTGCATCTTGCCAGAATATTCCTACGTGATATCATAGGAAGCAAAACTGATATCGTGCTGCTGGATGAATTTACTTCCGCTCTGGATAATGCTACCCAAGAGATATGTCGTCAGCATCTAAGCAAATTCTTAGCAGGTAAAACTGGAATCATTGTAGCGCATCGCCACGAACTTTTTGCACTCGCAGACAGAACTCTCGAACTGCACAGAATGAGAATACAGGTGCTTCTTATGTTAGTGAGAGAGGTGAGATAGATATCCCGTTGTTGTAAATACGAGCGTGGAATACACAAACAATATAACCTTGAAATATTTGTCCATGAAATAGAAGAAGTGACACAAATGTATGTAGTAGGATTCGATTGGCGAGTCTGTGTAACCTTTAGTGCCAGATGTGCTGGACAATGTACCTGGTCAACGAAACAGTGTTGCGTGGTAAAGTATCTTCTGACTTGTTTGAGACATTATTTACCATATGATTCTCGAATTGTATGTCTCCCGCGTACATTCACAATCCGTTGGGCGAGTGAACACGTTTATCGCCCATGTCTACACTTTGTTCTATATTAAAATACTGCTTGAATGTGTGATATACCTCCAGGCATGGCAATTGCAAGTTTGCCACGTAGCGTTTGACGTTTCGCACGGTGCTTGGCTTTGTGCTTGTGTTCAAGAGCTGCTTCTCTAAGGCTCTGTGTGCATCTGATATTCTTCACTACAGACATAGATACACCAAACAGCCAGGCTCTTTCTGTGCTAGTAGGTACATTTAGAAGGCTTTCATACAAATATTTCTAAAAATGCAATAGAGTTTGAGCTACGGATTTTTTTCTCGCACGCGAAACAATACAGGAAACAAATCACGACGTTGCAGACTGTCATAGTTTCTTCGTACATACTTCAGTAGTATTCTGGGTGTTCAGCTCGGGTGCCTCAGTAGAGTTCGAAGTCATGCTAAACAACCACCTCAACCGACAGATATGCATCAATGGAACGTACAAATAGCTGCGAAAATGCTTAAGCTATCTGCATGTTTGTTTAAGCAAAAGGAATGTGTATTTTTTTTCCAACCAGGCGTCCAGCAAGGAAAATATTTAATTATTTATACAGTGGATACTGCGCCGCACAATCTGTTATATATATTAAAAACCAAAATCGTCGCACAAATCAGGCTTTACATATGGATTCTAAGACAAGGTCCTGCCGTTTGATACACAGCAAGAGCACCTAATATTAGAATTGAAGTGTGAGGCGTATAACCTACAGTATTTATAAATCATATAATTAAGCTGTGATGTTGAAATGGGTTATAATCCAGAAACTCTGCTTAGCAGTCAGGTATTCGTTTCCGGTCTCCGGGACTGCCGCTGGAGATGCAATAGAGCGATATATTATTTCTCTGCGAGTAGTTCTTCCTCCGCTCTCTTAGCCTGTACATATCTTTCGATCCGTTCTTGTTGCTGGTCAAAAGCTGCCTGTGTTGCATTGCGCTTCTGCGTGAAGTTGTAAAGACCCCACATGAAGTATATCTGTGCGGCCAATAGAAGAGATCCATTAATATCGGTAGATTATCAATTAAAAAAAAACTGTCCTTTCCATTTATATATATATATATATATATATATATATCTTCTATATATATATAATAATAAATA